GAGATCATGACCTGAGCCAAAGTCAGAGGCTTAACCAACTGAGCGACCCAGGTGCCGCTGACTATTTTAAAATAAGGAAAAACAGGGGCAACTAAGTGCCTCAGTCGGTTAAGCCTCCAACTTCAGCTCAGGTCATGATCTCACGGTTCATGAGTTCAAGCCCCACATCAAGCTCTCTGCTGGATATCTGCTGTTGGCATAGACCCGGCTTTGGATCCTCTGTCCCTCTATCTCTCTGCCCTTCCCTGCTCGCGTTCTCTCTCTCTTTCTCTCTCTCTCTCTCAATAAACAAACAAACAAACAAACAAACAAACTTTAAAAACTTAAAAAAATATTTAAAATAAGGAAAAACAGGGCACTGGGGTGGCTCAGCCGGTTGAGTATCCAACTCTCAGTTTTGGCTCAGGTCATGATCTCATGGGTTCATGAGTTTGAGCCCTGTGTCTGACAGCGCAGAGCCTGCTTGGGATTTCTCTCTCTCTTCCCTTCCCCAGCTCATGCGCATGCGTGCTCTGCCTCACTCTCTCAATAAATAAATTAACATTTAAAAATAAATAAAAATAAGGAAAAACTCATTGTGTGGCACTTTGACGCACACATCATGTGTCAATATACAAGAGCGTACCATTTGATTGATGCATAATGTTGTCCAATTTTTACTTACCAGTGCATCATCTTCCAATGAGGCAAAAAAGAAGCCATAGAGTAAGTTAATTTGCTCCTTGTGATCAATGAAGTCAAACATAGCAACCAGCCAACGATAAAAAAGTACCTATCAAGAGACAAAATGCTTATCTTTAGAGAAATGTAACTGGCACAGGAGAGAGCTTAATTGCCCACTCAGGGCTATTTTAGAAGCCTCTAGCACAAAGTAGGATAATAGATTTTATATCTCAGTAAAAAATTTCTGCTTGAGCAGAGTCCCTGCATCAAGTTATATTGTTCCAAAACCACAGGCTTTCCACAAAAAGCCACTGCCATTACTCCATAAGTGGCTCTTCCTTGCCAGCCCTTAAGTGGTTCTGAAGGACTTATCATCAAAGTGTTTAAAAAGATTACCTTGGTGCTACCAGAACACTTGCCAACACAAAGCCAGGAGACGGCCTTAACCACAGAATCTTCTGATATTAGAGTTGTTGGAATCATGCACTTCAATATCCGAGTGTTTACAACGTTTCCTGGAAAGCAGACAAAACTGCAAATTAAACTACATTTTAGAATCTTGTTTATTACTTTACTATTATTCACTTAGTCCAAAAAAATCTCACTGTATACTGAAGGCAATAAACAGTGAGTAATATTTGATAGATCTCTTATCATCATTTCAAAACATAGTTTCAAAAAAAATGTACCTTTAACTTCTAATATAAACTATAAAGCAAATTCTTTGACTCTATATTTCTATTTAAAAAGGGAGGATGAGTACAGTGTTTCTCTTTGGGGTGATGAAAATGTGTGGGAATTAGAGAGTGGTGATGATTGTACAACTCTGTGAATATGCTAAAAAAAATCCTGAACTGCATACTTGAAGAGTGAATTCTATGGAATGTGAATTATACTTCAAAAAAAGCCTTACAAATTTCAAAGATTATTTTTTATTTAGTTATTATTTTTTAATGGCACAATAGATTCTTATTTAAAGCTACAGACAGACATCTTGCATGAGGTGCCTCATTTAAGAATAAATATATTTGTATTCTCCATCCCTCCCAAAAAGTGGGGAGGACAGCAGAATGAAACAGCTATTCTTGGAATTAGCTGGCAGTAATATCATTCTATACTGGTCCAATCTTTCCATCATACTCTCTGGCTTCCATGGTATTCTCCCATCTGGTAATAGAAGTGATGCTGCAAATAGCTTTGTATACACCCTATATCAATTTCTGCTTATGAAGGTTTAAAGAATTAAATGCATATCTCATCAATTTTTTTGGTACATAAACATTGTTTCATTTGCATTATAATGTGGTAATCACACCAGTCACTGAAAAAACAACTATTCTCAACTTCTCATGCAAATAGAATTTTCAAAAGCATCTTGGATCCATGTCTTTAACCACTGTTTCACATGCATTACAGTGTGCTGATCACATCCATTCACTATAATAACACAGTTCTCACTTCTGCAATTAGCATTCTTAGAAATTATCTTATACAGTTTGTTTTAGATGTATTCTAGGATGATGATCACATCCATTTATGGAAATAACACTGATCTTAACTTGGCCCGTAGGTAACATCTTCAGAAATATCTTACACACATCTTTTTTTTCCCCTGAGGGTGAAGACCTCTATTTATTTTTTAAATAAAAATTACATATATTTGGGGCGCCTGGGTGGCGCAGTCGGTTAAGCATCCGACTTCAGCCAGGTCATGATCTCACGGTCCGGGAGTTCGAGCCCCGCATTGGGCTCTGGGCTGATGGCTCAGAGCCTGGAGCCTGTTTCCGATTCTGTGTCTCCCTCTCTCTCTGCCCCTCCCCCATTTATGCTCTGTCTCTCTCTGTCCCAAAAAAATAAATAAACGTTAAAAAAAGAAAATTAAAAAAAAAATTACATATATTTAAGATGTATAGCATGATGATATCATACGCATATACATAGTGAAATGATTACTACAGCCAAGATAATTTACAATTATCTCCTCACATTGTTAACATTTGTGTGTGTGTGGTGAGAGCACCTGAAATCTACTCTCCGACCAAATTTATCGTATTCAATACAATATTATTAACTATTGGGGCACCTGGGTGGCTCAGTCAGTTGAGCATCTGACTTTGGCTCAGGTCCTGATCTCACTGTTTGAGAGTTCAAGCCCCACATCGGGCTCTGTGATGACAGCTCAGAGCCTAGAGCCTGCTTCAGATTCTGTGTGTGTCTCTCTCTCAGTCTCTCCCCCACTCACATTCTGTCTGTCTCTCTCTCTCTCTCAAAAATAAATAAACATTAAAAACAATATTAACTATAATCATCATACTATACATTAGTCTCTAAATTTATTCATTCTACATATACCTCAATTTCTACTCCATCATTCTGTGGAGAAGGAAGGAAGCAGTGATGGCAGGTGATGAATCACAAGAATAAAAATCTCTCTATTCCACTATGGTTCCTTGTTTTCATTTCTCTTTTCTCCCTTACTCCCATCCCCAACTCTTCTAAAGTTTAAAACAGTCTGACCACTAACACTTCACACATGTACCAAATTCAAAGGGTGAATTCAATAGACTTAATACTTCCCAGCAACTTTTTAATTTCTAAAGTGTCTGAAGTCCTTTTTTCAAAACTTTATTAACTTTGAGAGAGAGAGAGAGAGAGAGCGCAAACAGGGGAGAGGCAGAGAGGGAGAGACGGAATCCCAAGGAGGCTCTACACTATCAGCACAGAGCCCAACACAGGCTCAATCTCATGAACCATGAGGTCATGACCTGAGCCAAAATCCAGAGTCAGAAGCTTAACTGACTGCACCCCAAAGTCCTTTTGTACTTAACTATGAAATTTGTAGCACACCTGCCCCTGAATATGCATTTCAACTTAGCAAAAGAGCTATATGTAAAGATATAGTAGTGATGGAGGGTATCACAGAAATAACGAAAAGGAGAAAAACAATTAAGGAGGCCACATATGACATCTCCAATTCCAGCTTAACAGATAAATGAAGTTAGAATAGAAAGAAAGAGATTATTTTTAAAATTGCCATATATTAGTTTCCAAGGCTGAGGCAGGCATTTGCCACAAGACCTGACAAACATCATGGAAACCTTCTAACCATTACTTTCTAAGATACCAAAAAAAGAGAAATTCCAAAATAGAAAATACTTGTATATTCCATACATGTTTTAAGGGGAGAAGAAATAGAATTGACAATAGACACTGATTAGTTAAACATGGATTCCTGGAGGGGCGTCTGGGTGGCCCAATCGGTTAAGTGTCCAACTTTGGCTCAAGTCATGATATCCTGGTTCATAAGTTCGAGCCCTGCATCAGACTCTGTGCTGACAACTCAGAGTCTGGAGCCTACTTCAGATTCTGTGTCTCCCTCTCTCTCTGCCCCTCCCCCACTTGTGCTCACTCTGTCTCTCAAAAATAAATAAAACATTTAGAAACAACCAACAAAACTAAAAGGCAACCAACGGAATGGGAAAAGATATTTGCAAATGACATATCGGACAAAGGGCTAGTATCCAAAATCTATAAAGAGCTCACCAAACTCCACACCCGAAAAGCAAATAACCCAGTGAAGAAATGGGCAGAAAACATGAATAGACACTTCTCT